ATATTAACGATTGACTCAATATCATGCCTGATACATTAACTTTTGTGTGTGGATTCCATGAGTGAACCGAATTTACTTTTTCGTAAAGTGATTGCTACATACTGGTCCATGAGTGGCCGAATTGATGTACTTAAAGGCTGGGGTGATTCTTATGTGGACCGAAATCGCATATGAGATACCATGATCGTGTTTCAAGAATTCTTAGGTGATCCGGGTTACCTAATGTAGTATCATAACATTTCAATGTCTTTATTGTGAAGTGATATAAATGTTTCATTTCTTATATAGCAATCATATATCCTATGATTTCTTTAAATCTTATTTCACTTTATTTTGGGAAACCATTAACATAAATATCAACCTTTTGGCCATTCATATTTTGTTATTAGGGATGAATGTTAAGCAACACGTGTCACATATTTAAAATAGCTTCACATTATCTATGTCCTTTGTTTTTTGTGTGCTTCGTACTTATAATCGTAGGAACTTGTTACATTTGTTCTTTCAAGTTATCAAGACTTATCTCGATAGATTGTTTCATTTCGTATCATAAATGTTACATAGACAATAGTTATTCTTTTTGATTTGTAAATTGTGGTTACTCATATGACACGTATGAATGAAAGTAAATTTTTTGTTTAAGATGAAATGCGTTGATTTAAACATTATTCGGATATTCGTTGTTAATACTTAAATGATGGGGATTTCCCAGGGCTTTCACATTTATGATTCAGGATAAATGGATGAGATTTGCGTATATTTTCCTATGAATTTGATTTACTCAGATTACATTGTGTGTTGACTGCCAGTCACGTAAATTTAGGTCATGCATATGGCATAACAATCATATTTTGATCAATTATTTTTTAGAACAATCTAAAATTGCTAATATTATTTTATTGATAACACTATTATTCTACATAACTTTAATATTCCATCCGTTTACTTTTACTTGTCCGCTATTTTAAAATATTTTTTTTTATTTTTACTTGTCACTGTTAACATTTCAAGAAAAAATAATTATTTTCATGTTTTATCCTTAGCATTAATTACTTATTTCCTAAATCATTTTTCGTGACCTAATACTTATAAAAATCAATTAATATGAGTAATATGATAAAATAATTGTGTCAATTTAATGAATTTGCCAAATCCAAATGTGACAAGTTTAAATAAATGGAGAGAGTAATTAATAAAAATACAAATTGATTTAACTATTTAAATTTTAAACTTTTGACCTAATATTTTCTCTTTCAAATGATATTTCAATTGATTACATTTATGTTCTATTACAATAATATAATATATGAGTCAAATTTACATTTTAAACTATACATTTGATAAATACTAAATATGATATTATTGTTGTTTACAAACCCAAAGAGAATAAACAATATAATAATATATATAAGCATGGCATTAATTTTCCCATAAAAATAAAGATCTAAATCGTCACTATCCGTAAACCTTTCTCCTCCTACATAACATGACTACTAAATTATTTATGTTTATCATGAAAAAATTAAGACCGGATATCCATTTGCATTCTTAATTAAGACGATTTAGATCTTTAGTTTTATGGGTCAATTAATTGTCATGCTTATATATTATATTCTTTATTCTATTTTATACGATAGTGTTTGTCACTAACATTATAAGCATTATTTTTTATTTTTTTTATATACTCTATTGAACGACCTTTTAGAGGAATAACTTATTAATCTTTATTTCATTACTCTCACAATCCTTCATTATCATAACTGGTGTTTTAAAAGGCTGTGTTGAGATTCGTTTCGGGCTTATCCCGAGGCGGGGATTTGGAAAAACGCCTCGAGACTCATGCGTGGAATTTAGTTTTATGAAATTTATACTCTTAGGGGCCGTTTGGTTTCGAAAACCCCGCCTCGGGATAAGCCCGAAATGAGTCTCAACACAGCCTTTTAAAACACCAGTTATGATAATGAAGGATTGTGAGAGTAATGAAATAAAGATTAATAAGTTATTCCTCTAAAAGGTCGTTCAATAGAGTATATAAAAATAATAATAAAATAATGCTTATCAAAACGGCCCCTAAGAGTCCAACTGTACGCTCTAAACACACTCAACATCCAACGTTTGAGACTCGTCTAATAAATTTTACACAAATTACGTGTTAAATTCTTTTGTTAACATTGTTGACCCTCATACTTTTTTTAATAATTAATGATACTTAATAGTAGTGTTACATCTATAGAAATAAGCAGATTAAGAATAACTTCAATAACAAGTTTCTATATCGCATATTTACTATTTGGTAACATCGTGAGGGATTATTATTTAACATTTCTTTTAAAAATAGGAAAATGGTCTGAAAAATACTTCAACTTTGGCTGAAATTGCTCTTACGATACTAAACTTTATGGAAGACTTTTTACCCCTTGCACTATTTAATAGTATATTTTAAAGGTATATATGTGCCCACGTGGACACGTTACTATTTATAATTATGCAATATTTGTCCATGTGGGCACATATATACCTTTAAAATACACTATTAAATAGTGCAGGGGTAAAAGGTCATTTCCAAAGTTTGGTATCGTAACAACAATTTCGGCCAAAATTCGGATATATTTCAGACATTTTTTCCTTAAAAATACATAGCAAAACTTTACATCCTCACTTATCACTGGTTTCATGTTTTTGTCATTTGTCTCAAAATAATCATATTTTATTATCTCACTTTTTAAAGTAGTTTTATTTTTATTCATGATGGAATGGTGTTTTTATTATAATACTAAAATTTTTATTCATTATTTTCTTTTACGGAGGTAAATTGCATAGTATGATAATAATGTATTTTTAGAAATAATGATTCTCTTATTATTTGAAAGGTAAGAGATTCGAATTGATATGCGTCTCATAATATATATATTTTTCATTACATTATTTATATCTGTAAAATCATGTTAAAATTTTTATTTTCTATGAGCTTTCTCAATTATATTTTTATAATTTTATGTTATTATATTATTTTCCTATATCATAAATAAAATTTTTAAAATTTATAAGATTTATGCCATCACCTCAAGGCTTACCCTTTGTCCCATACTAAGTAAAACACTCCCCTCTTTAAAATACCAATCATAATTCATAACCCCTAAATAGTAGGTGGTTGTATACATGGCATCTTTTGATATTCCTCCATATAAATAAAGTTTTTGTAAGTATTTATTGGAACACTTGAACAAATAAGAAAACTTCTTTCTTTTTCCGTTTCTTCTTTACATATATTGCTATTGCTCAATAATATTGTATTTATAATATATATATATATAATTAGTCAGCCATGAGATATGATATGCTATTATTATTGTTATATATGACGAAAATAATGATTTTATGTATAATAATAACTAATTTAGCGTGTTCGTATTGTTGGCTTTTTCTCCGTTCAATCACTTATGTTTTTATTTATTATCCAATAATAATTATATTTTATTCTTTATCCTACCTTGTTATAATAGTTTTACCTATGTACTCCATTTTTTGTAAGTTTATGCGTCAAAATTGTTGATGCGATGACATTATCTAAATAGTATATTCATCAAATAATACAATACAATATAATTGATATGACATACTATATTTACCATTCATTCCCTTTTAGGATCGGTCGTGTTTCTTCTAAGTTTTTGTAAGAGCATCCCTCACTTAGAAACTAGCTACACTTGAACAACTATATACTCTTCAATAACATAATACGATATATTATGAATTACTCCAATAACAACCCTCCAAACATGGACTAGTATTGCCTCATCTATATTAAAATAGTACAAGCATCAAAGAACACAAAAGCCTAATGGCAAAAAGAGAACTCATCACCTAACAATATCAAAAATAGGTGAGACTGTTTAGATGTTTCGAGTTCGAGCCAAAATTCTGTTGAGACCGCCAATTTTAAATGAACATTATAATGCGCGATTCGAATTTAATCGGAATTCAATACAGGTAAAAAACAAAAAAAAAGGGTCAAAAATGTCAAAAAAGTCAAAAATAGAATTTAACCATATTAATGAGAAGAGAAAAAAAACAAAAGAATAAAGAGAAATTGCATTTATTTTCCAATTTAATAGCCTTTGAAGTTTTTCCTCTAACCCTCTCCTTCCCAATCTTGAACACACACGGCACTATAATCTATATCTGCCCTAATATACACACACACACAGTCTCTATTTGTTTTGCCCTAGTCTCGTCTCTCTTGAACCACTCTCTCTGTTTCTTCGCTGTTTTCTCTCTCGCCTTCTCCGTCTCTTTCTCTCTCTGTTTTGTGTGAAGCACTGCGGTTTCATATTGAGAAAAAGGAATTCCATCTATTGTTAAGAATTTGGTATTTTGCCTGTCCCTCGGGCGAAAACAGATATATATAGCGTTATATATATATTTAGAGGGAGTTTTGGTTTGGGGTTATTTAGCGCGGTTAGGGTTTTGTTGGGGATCTTATTGCCTTGATAATCGCTTGTTTTTTTTTTATAATCATCGTCTATAATCAGTTTGTTTGTGTTCTATTTTGTGATTTTGTGGGCAATATCTAGTTTTCTTATCTGGGTTGGGGTAGAAACCCTAAGTTTTGTTGGGGGAAGTTATTGCGGGTCTAGGGTTTGTGGATTTGTGAATTTTTACTCACAATTGGCATGGTGGGTCGGTGAGTTTAGGTTTTGTTTGGTTGATTACTCGTTGAAATCTTGTTGGGTAATGGAAAAGAGGGGTGTTTTTTTTCTGTAACTGCTCCTGAAGTAATAATGATAGTCTGATTATTGCACCAATTGTTTCGTCTTCCATCTTTTTTTGGTGAAAGAGATGGAGTAACGGAAGACTTTTTGATTCCTAGGTGTAGTTATTAACCGTTGGAAAAAAACTGGTGTTTATTTTGTTGGCTTTAAATTTGTGAAGTCGAAGGAAGGATTGTGACAGGGGTTAATTTACCTCAAAGATAAAGAGGAAAAGGAAGATGCATGGTTGATTTTTTGCAGAGGAAACTTGTTTTGGACTAAAATCTGTGAGGGAAGTTGAATTTCTTTTTGGGGAACTTTTAGATAGAGTAATGTGGTTGGTTATTGCAAATTCTTGGATAGATAGGTAAAAATCTGGACATATTGGTTCAGATAGGAAAAGTCGGTTGAATAAAAGTCTTCTTGTAGAGTAAGCTGATCATGTTCTGCGCCAATGGAAAGGAGTGAACCAGCGTTAGTTCCAGAATGGTTGAGAAGCACTGGAAGTGTTACTGGGGGTGGCTCTTCAAGTCCCCACTTTGCAACCTCTTCTTTGCATTCAGGTACACACTCTGCCCTGCTTGAATTCCTTTCAGTCACATTTATTTTAAGCACGCGTTTAAGTGAAGCATAATGCATATTGAGGATTTATATAGTGACTTATCTATCTTGCGGTTCTGGTTATTTTTGTACTTAAAACTTTAAGCATGACCATATTGTACTTTTGTGTTTCCTTGCTGCAGATGTTACTTTATCCACACTGTCTTCTCGCAATAGATCTCCTAGGAGTGTTAGTGACAAAGATAGCCCGCGTTCTGTGTTTTTGGATCGCAGTTCATCATCAAATTCTAGGCGTAGCTCTAGTGGTACTAGTTCGAAGCATCCGTACAGTAGTTTTAATAGAAATCATCGTGATAAAAATCGGGAAAGAGAGAAAGAAAGACCGGGTACTGTTGATCTATGGGATCATGACACATCTGATCCTCTGGGGAACATCTTAGCTGGTAGAGTTGATAAGAACAGCTTGAGGCGCTCTCAGTCGCTGGTGTCCAGGAAACCTGGTGAGTTCTTGTCCCGCAGGACTGAGGACTCGAAAGGTGGTATTAGTAGCACCCATAGTAGTGGCAATGGTATTCATTCTGGGGGAAGTAGTACTTTTAACGGTAACCAGAAGGCAGCATTTGAGAAAGATTTTCCTTCTCTTGGGATTGAAGAGAGGCAGGTAACCAGAGTTTCATCACCTGGTTTGAGCTCAGCAGTCCAAAGTTTGCCAATTGGAAACTCGGCTTTGCTTGGTGCTGATAAATGGACCTCAGCATTGGCAGAGGTGCCTCCTATAATTGGCAGCATCGGTATGGGGAGCTCAGCTTCTCAACAAAGTGTTGCTGTAGCTCCAACACCTAGCGCTCTAAGTGGGACAGCTAGTCTGAACATGGCTGAAGCATTGTCGCAAGCACCGCCGCGCACTCGTTCCACCATGCAGGTAATTTTCTTTTTTATTGTTAGTTACTGCCTAATTCTGATAGTTTTGGAGAGATGTTCATCTGTGTTAATTTTGCATGTGTGTAGATCCCTGATAAGACACAGAGGCTTGAGGAATTAGCTATAAAGCAATCCAGACAGTTGATACCTGTGATACCTTCAATGCCTAAAGTTTCGGTATGTTTAATCATGCTGTATGCACATATGCAAAGGCATCTTTTTGATGCATTTTACAGTGTATTAGTTTTTTTCCTTGGGATTTTATCTATATGGGTCATCATTTGTTGGTTTGTTTTTATGTAGCAATAGAAGTTCTAGTCATTTCGGGTTTTTATCCCTCTTTGCAGTTGGGCTATGGATTGTATGTTAATAATCTTTTGTAGTTGTAATTACTTTGATTGATGAGTAGCATAAAATGCGCACACAAATTGAGAAGATTAGCATGATCATTTGTCAAGCTTCTTGTTCCGTAATATCGACTAATAACATAGTCAATATTATGAAACAAGTTTGTTTAACAAATGATTATGATAGCCAGGGGTTTGTTGGTTTCATGTGTGAATAGAAGTGTAACTAACTTGTGCTGGTTATTGATCTTTGATGTGTCCCAGGGGATTATGAACCCTCTTTTTATGCAAGTATTGTTAGTGCTGGGGCCATGGGGTGGTAGTCGGGCATTGTTGACATTTCCTGTTTCCATGTTCTGAATTTTATTAACCTGTACTTGTATAACAAGATTGAAACTCAGTTGGCTATAGATATCCATAGGGTTTGCAAGTTTTAAGGGACATTAGGCTATTCAAAATTTCCTCATAAAATAATATACGGGAGTTTATTTTCAACACACAAGCTTTAAATAATTGCAGGGTGTGGCTGCATCTGAATAAAAAAATGTGTTAATTTCACTTTACAAGATAAATCTTCATACTGTGTTTATGAATTGTCGTATATACTCACGAATCATTGGATGTGTGGATTTTTGTGGTAACTATAATTTATTCACTTCGGGGTTGTCCCCCTCTATTCTTGTTGCCAAGGACTTCCAGCTTCTGGATTCTGCTGAATCTCACGAACAATGTTAATCCTTATGATCCTGATAATTGCCTAACTATTGAGACATTTATCTTGCTTTGTAGACCTTGTCTTTCTTTAATTTTTATTTGAAGTATTTTAAAACCTTTGATTCAAACGAGTCAACTTTAATGTTGTTACAACTTCTGCACTGCCTTTAATATCTTTGAATCCACATATTGGTGTATCGGCTGGTTATTGAGTAGAATCATGTAGGATCAACTTTTTTTCTATCCACCTGCTGATGTGCTTGTACATGTACATGATTATACTGGTGAAGCTAGAGACCTAGCTTTTACTGAAGAAAAAATGGCAATTATATGATGCGCTGCAGGAATCCAAATCACGGAAAGGTTAATTGCGAAGGGAACTTCTGAGGTGTGATTAACTGGATAATGCTGCTAATTCATCTTGGGGAAACCAGAGTTGTGTATTAAATGATTATGAATTGTGTGTAATCAATTTGGTAGTTGCATGTAAAATTGTCCCTGGACTTTTATTTCCCCCCAATGTAATGTTGTAGCCTTGTGGTTGATCACATTCATTGATTGGTGAGTTATTTAGTCTCTTTAATGTTCTTTCGAAAGATAGAAGTATTAGAAATTAAACGGTTACTTGATTATGTTTGACCTATTTATGTGACATTATCCTGTCCCTCTTGCTCACACTCTCTCAGGGAGTGGGTAATCGATATGTTTAACTTGTTTAAAGAAGCTTGTGACATGAGTGCTTCTTTTGTTGGGAGCTCTAATCCTAGTTCTATTTCACTGGAAAATCAATACTAGAGGACAGACAGAAAGGAATCAAATCTTCAGCTAACTACTGTTACCTAAATTATGCCTACCCTCATCTAAAGCTCAAACACTATAACATATTTAAGGGCATAATACCTGATGACATTTCTCTGTGCATCTCTCTTGGCCAATGGTTTTGTATTTCCTTCCCTTTGTTTGTTTTCCACAACTTGTTTGTTTTTTCGCTGGTTCTAAAGGAATCACATTACTGAACTACATTTTAGCCTTTTTTATTTGCTGAGCACACATTGCATTTTAGTTTTTGTGTCTTCATGTAGAAAAGAGGAAGCAGGATGTCTACTTGAAATGAGATAGGCTGAAAATCATCTCGCATATTAATTCTATTGGGGAAGCTATTTATTTTCAATTTTAGTTGTATTATCCTCTAGTATTTTGGATATAGAATTTACATACAAAGGGTTAGGCTTGATGGATGGTTGATATCCATATTAATGGGAAGCAATTGTTTCCAGGTATCCAGTTCTGCTGATAAATCAAAGCAACCAAAATCCATAGCTAGGACAAATGAGATGGTTGGAATAACTAAGAGTATGCAACAACCTTTTTCCTCTCAACTTGCTAATCAGGCTCGTAGTGGACAAGTCAGAGCGGAAACTCCAGCTACCTCTCATGGCAAAACTCTTCTGGTTCTGAAGTCAGGACGGGAAAATGGTGTCACCTCTTTGTCAAAAGAAGCATCAACTCCAGCTAACAACACTGGCAATAAACTAGCTAATTGCCCTCCTGCAGTGGCTCCTTCAGCTCCTGCTGTGACCAGTCCAACTTCAAGGGTAACTTCCCTTGAAACCAAGGCTGCTGCATTGTCACTGAAGCCACGGTCTACTGCAGAGAAGAGATCTTCTCTGTCTCAAGCCCAAAGCAGGAGTGATTTTTTCAATCTAATGAGGAAGAAGACTTCAAATTCTTCTACTGCCCTTCCAGACTCTGGTATGGCTTCATCTAACAGTAGGGAGCAGTCTTGTCTCAAAACTAAAGATGAGGATAGTGCCTCTTTGAGTCCTTGTGTTTCTGAAAATGGAAGTGAGAGAACCAGCAATGGAGACCCTCATGAAGCTCAAAACCATGTTCAAAGACATAATGATGTTGAGGAGAACAACTCGCCCATAAATGGATCGGTATATCCAGATGAAAAAGAGGCTGCTTTCCTACGTTCTCTTGGTTGGGATGAAAATGCTGTGGAAGAGGAAGGCCTGACAGAGGAAGAGATTAATGCTTTTTATCAGGAGGTAATTAACTCTAATTGCTATTTTTGTATGTTATATATCACTTCCGACGTGACATTAGTTATGTTAAAGATACTCCATGATTAAGTTTGAAACCTGAGTGTTTGATACTAGTGAGGTTTCTTGGAGATGATTCATTGCATACTGTACCTTAACATGACCATAGAAAGTTAGTTGTGTACAGTTCTTAATAGATGCTATCCTTTTATGTTGTTCTGCTGTGGGACTTGCAGTCTACTTCTGAAATTAGACATGCTTTCTTTGACTTAATTTTGGAGCAGTGTTAAGTAACCTTTGGGGGGTGGGGTGGGGGGTGGGGGGGGTCTCAATTTAAAGTCAAAATTTACATTGAAGAGAAAGCTCTTTTTTCACTGACTCTGTTTGACTAATTTTGTAATGCAACCCCTGCAATTGCAGTATATGAAACTGAAGCCATCCTTGAAGGTTTACAAAGGTGCCCAGCCAAAGTGTTTGATGCTGCCTGAGTTGCACTTGGCTACTAATCCTGGAACTGCCTCTTCCAATTCGACTTCATCTGAATCTGATGCTTGAATATAGTGATTTCTCACCTATATGGGGGATGCATACAGTTTGGTTTGTCAAGAGATACATGTCTTTTTTTTTTTTAATGGTCTCTTTTTGTTTGGAGGATCTCTGATGTATCTGTTCACAAGTGGAGGGTGGCTTTTGGAATTTTGAAGGTGCAGAGAAGAGAAATAAGTTAGTCTGCTGCTGTCCTGCTGGCTCAAAAGAAAGCTAAGGTAGCGTTTTTATAAGTAGAAGTTAGGAAAATGTTAGTCTGCAGTGGATGATGCTGGGCAAATTGCTTCTTTTTGGAAAATTTTTTTGTGCTTTTCCTTTCCAGTGCTCATTTGAAAAGGAAAGAGAAGGTTTTAAGTTGTTTTGGTCAATTTTACGGGGAAGAAGGAAAATTGCAAAGTTCATTATAGAATTTTCTTTTCAGCCAAAATCTCATAATCGCATAGCTCATGTTGATATCATCCTAGCTATTATTATATTTTCTTTACTTTTTGTCTATGTTTCTTTTTTGTCATATTGATATTTTCAATTGCAATCCGCTGAGTTCTCAAAGTAGTTTTAATGGATGTGGACATGTAGTAAATGGTAATGACCTGGGTTGGGAAGATGCTATTTTAGGGTATTAACTGCATGCATGCATCATTTCTGTTGCTCTGACTGGTAGCTCTGTTGTTGGAGCATGTATTTCCCCCCTCGGGTTTTCTTTGAGTTGTAGTAGGTAGAAAATGGCTTGTTGAATCGGTACTAGTCAAAGTTGAGCAGGTAATGAATGATGTTGATTCTTTTGGAAGAAAATAACTCCACGAGCTTAGAATGATTGACACACCTAAATTGAGTGAAGATATTGGGGGCACAAAAATTGTTGTCTTCTTAGTTTCTTCAATTCACCAGGTAGTTCTGGCTTTGGGTGTGGCTATCAAAGTTTACGTTTGGGCCTATATTTCAACAACAAATTTGTTCAACCATACAGTGTTCAAAAGCCGTTGATCTAAGTTATTTAGGTTCATCTTAAAATGCCCACTATTGGAGTTGTAGAGTTTTTTTTTGTTTTGGAAATTTGTGTTTGTATTTTTGAATTTTCTTGAGTTCACTGATTCACCTTCAGTGATACAAATTTTGAGTTCAATTAACTTTAATGAATGTTTTTTCCAACTTAATTGACTAGTGAACTTGAGTTTGAAAAAAATTCATTCAAGGTTATCATTCCTACAGAATTCAACTACTATTGTAGACAATGTGTTTGATAATTAAGTAGTAACTTGCATCATCACCAAGAATTTGTTGTGGGATGATCCCTCCATCTCTAATTACAGGTTTCGGGTTTATGTTCTTATTTTTGGCAGCGATAAATTTCTCCTTAAGTGGGATTTACCTTACGGGAATCCATGGCTCCACTGCGGGAACTAGATGAAAAAAAAGAGTCACTTGAATAGACAAAAGTGTTTGATAATATGTATAATAATTAAGAACTTTTAGAGTGTTACACTAATCTCAATTCATAATATGTTACAATAATTAAGAACTTTAGTATGTTCTAGTGCCCAGAATTATATTGTTACTTTGGCTCAAGACTCTATTATTCTCACATGTAGTTAGTTTTATAAAGAAAAGGCCAATATGGATGAAATTAGGAAAACATTTTAAAGCCAATTTCACCTAATTGATACTATGAAAATTGTCTATTTTGACTTTAGACATGTTTACCTTGATTCAAACGAAGAGGACTACAATCATATTTTGTTCAAGGATGTTATAGACATTGGTGAATCTCTATGAAGATATTGAATGGACTGCCAACTTTAGTTTAAACTTTTATGGCATCTTTTTTTAAGTGGCAAATCATATGTAGATTGATAAGTGGTATTGGTGTAGTTGTTTCCCCCGGCCAATTGATAAATTGAGCTCGAGTTGGGTGTATCTCTCTCGAAAGGGCTACTAGTGTTAATGATCCTTCTACACGACAATTTCGTCTTTCTCGACATGTTATCTTTATCGAACTTACTACAAAGCTTGGGGTGTTTAGATTTCCTGTGATCAAGGGTGGTGCTACCCTTGTCGAGGAGCGTTAAGCAACACTTCTCCGTTGAAAATTACATTGTATAAATATGTAAAATTTTGATTTTATACTTGTATATATTAATGTTGACATCTTTTGGCACAACGTGAAGAATTAGATCAATGGTTGGGGGTTGCAAAAGCTCTCAATCTTTGGTAGGTCAGCTGTCCGAACTACTTTATATTTTGATATGTTTCAACAAAAATTCTGGCTGCCATTGCTTGTAATGGTGGGCTATTATGTTCCCTTGTCACCCCTTAGAGGAGAGCGGTGAAACTATCGAGAATTTTATGTGAGACAATACTAGAAATCTTCGATCTAATAGAATCAACAAGATTCGGGTAATCAAAGTGATCAACTTAGGGGAAGTTTCACAATCATATGTAGATTGATCAGTGGTGTTGGTGTAGTTGTTGCTCTTGACCAATCTACATTCTCCAAGTCAAAGGGGAATATGGTCAAAGTAGTTGTTTCACTATGAATTTTTTTTACTCTATTCATAAAAAATTGTTTTTAAATACTATTTTAAGTTGTATTAGTTGAAAATAATTCAATAATATGTTTTCACTTTTTAACCATTACTTTGTTTTTAATTATTGTCCCAACTTTTTTATTTTACGAAAAAATCCCATTTATTTCAGCTATTATTACATTATTAATTCAATATTTACTTAATAATCCTATGATGTTGGCGTTGTTTAAGCTTTTGCATTTCCTTTATCAATTTTTGAAAGAGAGATTGATTGGTGATGCTTATTTTTTCATGTTAGTCATCAAAGTTGATCCCTAAAAAAAAAAAAAAAGTCATCAAAGTTGAACTTGGTAAATGCATATATGGTAGCCATTTAATGAAAATTTGCTGTTTGATTTTAGCTTATAGCAAAATGATTCGGGGTGTGGCTGCTCGTTTTGCTTCTGCCAAAATAATTTAATTTTGGATAGGAGTAATAGATTTGACCTCTATTTCCTCTTCTCTATTTGTTCATCTTTCTGATGGTGAAGGAAGGAATTATGAATAGACTTGAGCCCTCATTGTCCAGGCACAACGACATAATTTTCAAGGGCATGCTCTACTACTGAACTAATAGCCTGAACGATTGTCGATCACCAGATCCTCTAGTCTGCAATATTCACCCTGGCATAAAGGTGTTCAAAATCGAACCGTAACTGATAAGCCAGCCGTAAAATTATCTTATTGGCTTATTGGTATTGAATTATCGAATAAACGGTTGGTGAACGAATTAGAATTTTATAATTAACGGCTTATTGGTGTGGGGGCGAATAATTTTATTTCCTTACCGGATAAACCGGTAACCCGTTAAGAGTTACCATATATACTTACAATTTTAACTTAGGTATATCAACATCATTTATTATTTTTCCGTAATATATAATTATATATTGTTAGTCCTAAAGTCTTAAAGCCAAAAATTTGAATACCTATTTACTTTTTCATTATTAACTATTACATTACTATAGTCTATATTTTTTTTATAATATAGAAGAATTTTATAGTTTAATTGCACTTAAAAGTAATCTTTTTAAAAGGTTCAGTCATGGAGAAAAATTATAGAGATTGGCCGATACACTATTTGATGACCGTCCGATAAGTGCTAATCCATTATCAAACCAACTAATATCTAATAGTTTGGATAGCAGACAAGTAAATTTAAAACCCGATTTCCAATAGGCCAAACCGTTAATCAAAATTATCCGCCCGATTCATCCGGCTGAATGATTCCCTTAGTTTTAAGAAATTGGTGGTTTAAATCATATTTTAAAATATAAGTTTTTTTAAAAAAATTTCAGCTTCATTGGCTTGTACTCCACTTTTAGTTGTGCATTGAGTAAAGTGAATTACAGGGTATTATAGTCATTTTTCCTTGTGGATATATAGTCATCATGCCTTTTACCAAAAATCAGAATCAAACTCCATTTCTCCATTTTCAGATCTGATTTTCCCCATCCTGTAGCAACTCAAACCCTAACTCAATCAATCGACAATCCAATCCATGACATCTTCTTCTTTTGCAAGTGTTTCACAAGTTCCTCCATGTAAATACGATTTGGATCCATCAGAAATGGCCAATCTAAAAGGCTGTGACATACTCAATCGGTGAGTTAAAAAAATACTGTAACTGGTATAATTTGTAGATTTGTTTGTTGAAACTTGAGAACAGTTTGAAATGAGTTAATTAAACAGAATCAGCACTAAATCATCTAAGAATAGAGAGATTATACATGTGTCTTGTCAATTGGAAGTTATACTTTCATTCATTTAATTCGATTTTATCCTTTTATCATATTGATGTGATTAAACTTTTGTCTGATTTATGGATGCCAATTATAGGAAAGTAGTTCTAAATCTTGTTAACAATCTTGTTGGTTTTGTTGTAGGGTTGAATCAGGGAGCATTAAATGGATTGTTGGCCAAATGTCTTCATTATGTAAGCTTCTCTTATCATCTTCCCGAGATGTTGGGGGTATAAATGTTGTTTTACCGCAAGTGAAATCCTTGCTATGGATGAGTATTAATGATATTCGAATTGTTGGTATTTGGGGTATGGAAGGAGTTGGAAAGATAATGATTTTTGTTTTCTTGCGGATGTTAGAGAATGCAAAAACAGAATGCGTTCTTCGCGAGGAATCCTAGTTGGTTTGGTAATGACAGCAGAATTACTGCAACAACTAGAGACAAGCATTTGATAGCGAAAAATGTCGTAGTATATGAAGTGACTACACTTAGATTAAAAAACATTTTGAGTGTAGTCATGGATGATTTGATAAGAGTTCAAATGTGAAATCTCAATAGTAGAGGAGGAGAAACTTCAATCAGAGCGAAACATAGGTTTGTTTCTTGGAGCATGTGTATCCTCTTGATATTGGTTGGTTGGTTTGGTAATGGCAGTAGAATTATTGCAACAACTAGAGACAAACGTTTGATAGGGAAGAATGTCATAGTATAGAGTGAAACGTAGGTTTGTTTCTTGGAGCATTTGTATCCTCTCGAGGTTGAGTGGTTGGTTTGGTAATAGCAGTAGAATTATTGCAACAACTAGAGACAAGCGTTTGATAGGGAAGGATGTCATAGTATATGAAGTGACTATACTTTGATTAAAAAATGCTATGTATGTAGCCATGGATTCTTTGATAAGAGTCCAAATGTGAAATCTCGCCATTAGAGGAGGAGAAACTCTAATGAGAGCAAAAACTAGGTTTTCTGGGAGCAGTTGTATCCTCTCAAGCCTGAGTTACATTTGCTCCCTAAATTGATTTAGAAATCATAGAAAGAATAATGCGATCAATTTTGGATTGCGTTCATGGTTTGGAATCCCGGTGTAACAAATATGGTGCCAGAGAATCGATTGCTCACAAAGATTGACCATGAAGTTATTCTATCGCTCAATCAATATGCTTTC